GAGGAGGAGGAGGAGGAGGAGCGAGCCAGAGGTGTGACTAATGTGCCCTTAATAGCCCTTCTCGGCTGGCTTTGTTCTGCTCCGTGTTTCCAGGTGGGAGTCCCTCTCCGGAACGGGATGCTGCTGCAGCCTGACATCAGCTGAGGCTCTTGGACAGCGGGTTTGGTAGTGCTGAGTCGACAGTTGGACCTGATAATCTTAAACTTCTTTTCCAGCCTTAACAGTTCTACAATTCTGTGATTGTAAACATTGTTTGTCTGGTGCATTTCCTGTTACTTGTGCAGCGGTTCTGCTCCCAACAAACATCAGCAGTGGCTGGGAGAGGTCCCCCAGACCTTGTCACCTGGTGTCTTCTCAGTTTGCCAACCTCATGGAAGGGTTCAGTAGGAGGGAAGACCAAAAGCAGAGTTCAGATTTGGTTTCCTGGTCCACTGCAGCCTCAGTTACAAGGTTTGGAGTGATGTCTTTATTTTTTCCCAGTTTCCTGGATGAGCTAAGACGGGGTGGGCTGAGCACTGACATCATCCAGACAGGGCCAAACAGATTTCCAAGGAGAGGAGAGAGCGTGGCAGTGTCCTCTTTAACCCTCTGTCTGGCAGAGGCTGCACAGCTCTACTCTGGGGACCCTGCTGGGTCATTTAGTGCCTTGTTTGGGGCTGAATTATAGGTAAGAAGTTCCTATTCCGAACCTCACTTCTTTGATCTAGACTATTCCAAGCCATGCTGACCAGTGTCTCTAAACTGTCCCTTCTGTAAGGCCCAAAATCCAGGTGTAAGTGTTGTGATGACGATTGGGTTAATTATTTAAATAAGTTTGATTTATGATGGCAAGGTTAAAACCCTGAGAATAAAATCAGTAGGACAGCCCTGAGCATCTGATTAAAACCTCATCCATCCCTTCTCTCTGCCTCCCAACCACCTTTCAGGACATGCCCTTCCTTGATGAAATCTCTCCAGGATTTACTCTCAGGCCATTGGTGCTTATTTTTCCCGGTGCCTTCAGTCCCTGCCGTCTTTTTCCAGCTCTGGTTTCCCAAACCACATCCAGGCTGCTGGATTATGAAGTGGGGAAGTCCGTGTTTCCCACTGAACAGCCCATTCCCAGCGCAGCCATCCAGTTGCTCGGGGTTAGGAAGAGTTTCCCAGGAAGGTGATTAACAAAAAATCGGAGGGTTTGGTTCCGCCTGGAGCTGCCGGCAGGGAGGGGAGGTCTGACGGTGTTGCTGAACTGCAAAAATGCCCTCAGTGATGCCACCCCAAGCTCCCAGAAGATGCCAGTGTGCAAAATAGCAGCTCTGGGATGCACTCCCAGCAACAACCTCCTTACGTCAGCCCTGAGGGATGTGTCAGATCCCGCCCCTTCCCCAGGCACGCACGGTATCAGGGGCTCATCTGCAGCAGGACAGAGCCAACACATCAGCACTGTGCCAAGGCTGGAGTCCCTGCTGATGCAGAAGGGAGATTTGAAGTGTGCAGGTTCGCTTCTCCACGCAGAGACGTCAGTCCTGGTCGTTCCTATCCGTCGTTCGGTCTCGCTGCTGGAGCCTGAACCGCAGGGACAGGTGAAAATTAAACCATGGTGTTGCTGGCTCAAAAAATGTTCCAAGTTTTGGCAACCCCCCTGCAAAAAAAAAAAAAAAAAAAAAAAAGAAAGGCAACAAAACAGAACAAACCACAAAAACCAGATCTTGAGCTGCTTATCTTTTATTCTCTGAGTCACGGGATGTGTGGCGTTCACTCGCTTCTTCAGGGGCAGGTCTGGAGGTGGTTTAAGTTTTTCATGGAATCACAGAATGGTTTGGGTTGGAAGGGACCTTAAAGCTCATCTGGTTCCACCCCTTGCCATGGGCAGGGACACCTTCCACCAGCCCAGGTTGCTCCAACCTGGCCTTGGACACTTCCAGGGATCCAGGGGCAGCCACAGCTTCTCTGGGCAACCTGTGCCAGGGCCTCCCCACCCTCACAGAGAAGAATTCCTTCCCAGTATCCCATCTAACCCTGCTCTCTGGCAGCGGGAAGCCATTCCCTGTGTCCTGGCACTCCAGTTCCTGCTGAACAGCCCCTCTCTGGCCTTCCCTGTAGCGCCTTCAGATCCTGGAAGATGCTGTGAGGTCTCCACACAACCTTTGCTTCTCCCATATATATAGTTCTCCAGGATACATTTATATCCTTGTTCCCTCCCACTACTTTCCATTGGATGCCTCAGTTGGAAGGATGATCCTTGCCATGAATAAGGTCTTGCAGATACTTTACGTGCACAATTCCTTGTCGGGCTGCCGTTGCTGGCGCTGCAGGGCTGTTCCATCTGCAGCCAGCAGAGAGGCCGGGGTGGGCAACTTTAGGAAGCGCCAAAGTTCGGACCTGTGGCTCAGCATTGTGCCAGTCCCTTGTTTGCTCTGGGAAGTGCCCGCAAACACCTCGGGTGTCGTTCCCCTGCCTGCCACCCCGGCGCGTTCCCGGCGTCGCTCAGCTCGGCGCTGCCGCGTCGCCGTCTCCTGCCCCACTTATTAACAGCCAGCTCGTGCCAGGCACAGCAGGCAAACGAGCACCTGCAGTTGCCCTTGTTTTGCAAGCGCAGTTAAAATCACAGGCGAGTCTGCCTGCGTTTCAAAACGTGGAAAAGGCAGGGAGTGTGTGTCTGTGCCCTCCCTCCTCTGCCTGCTGCGCCCTGGCAGCGCTTCTGCAGCAGAGGTGGCACCGAGGCATCACCGCCACCAGCAGCACTCTGGGCACAGGCTCAGGGCCCTCAACAAATCACCCTGTGCTGCTGAGACACCCATCCCACTCACACCAAGGTTTGCCCGCGTGGCTCACGAATGGATTTGCGTTTCTCTCCCTCCTCTTTGTCCCAGCGGAGACTTTTCTTTGTTGCTCTCAGGACAAAAACTCTTTGCTTTGCTCTCCCCAGGGATCCACCAACGTGGTCTACCAAGCCCACCATGTGAGCAGGAGCAAGAGAGGACAAGTCGTGGGTACCAGAGGAGGATTCCGAGGCTGCACCGTTTGGCTGACAGGTATTTTCCTCTGGGTGTGAGAGCGTGGCTGGGAGCTGGGGATCCGGGATCGGCGGGAAACGTCAGCGTTCCTTGGGAGCCGGGAATTGCAAAACCCTCACACGTGGGAAGCGCAGACGCCCGGTGCTGGCGCAGCGAGATGTTCTCCCTGGCAGCTGCCGCCCAGAACTGATGTTTTCATGCATTTCCCAGCTGTTATCGGGCTCCTTTGAACACGTCAGAGGCCCCAAGGGGAGCACTTGTTGTTCCCAAGTGTGCAGCTGAGGAAGCCTTGGCTCGAACCCCAGCCGGTCCTTGGCAGCGAAACGCGCCCAGGGCTGTCCAAAATGCGGATGTTTTCATTCAGGGGCGGTGGGAAGTTCATTGGGACACGCAGGTTTGCTGTGTTTAAGGCAGCACGAGGCAGTCACCTTGTCTGGAGAATAAATGCTCCCAGCCAGTGGCACTGGAAGCAATTCCTTGCGTGTGTTTTGTTGCCCTTCTCCTCTGCTTTGAAATATGAACTCGTTGTTTGGGGATTAGGGGCTGCTGGAAGTGACAGTTGAGTTTCTTATTTCTAATATTTAGACAGCTCTGTCTTTCGCCACTTCTCCAGTTGTTCCTTTGCTTGTTAAATATTGGCATTTTCTTTGATGGAGGATGTTGAAGGACGTGCTTGGGAGGGTTTGTAAAGCCCTTTTGCCTTCCTGTCAGTTTAGGTGGTAGATGTTGGATGAAAACACATTTCTGGCTTGTTCTCCTCTTCAACTTGGATTCAATTTCAAAAAACCTGTCCAAGGGAATTTCTTTCTCTTTTGAGTGTCACAAAAAAAAAAAAATCTTGTGTCTAAAAGGTTTGAGCTTCTCTGCCTTGTGATTATTCTTTGAAATATGCACCTGGAGAAGGAGTGTCTGTGGATGCAGAGGGGCCATTGCTGCTGGGGCCTGTCCCACCCCACACAGTTGCTGCAAGAACCTTTCCTTGGGTTCAGTCTGGAAGAGCAGTTGGTCCTCAGTGGGAACAGAAGGAGGAAGAGGGAGATGCTGAGAGACTTACCCTTCCAAACTTCCCCTGCTTCCTGGTGCCTCTGTGTCCCCCTACATCCCAGCAGGAGGTGCTTCTGCAGCGCTGCTGGGTTGAGCCCCTCCAGACTTTGGGATGTCGCAGCTTTTCTCGTGGCGAGACAAGAGGGGAGGTTTAGGTTGCACATTAGGCAGAAATTCTTTACAGAGAGGATGATCAGGCACTGGAATGGGCTGCCCGGGGAGGTGGTGGATTCTCCATCCCTGGAGATGTTTAAGGTGAGACTGGATGTGGCATCAGTGCCGTGGTCTGGGAACCACGGTGGGATTGGAGCAAGGAAGGGTTGGACTTGATGATCTCAGAGCTCATTTCCAACCCGGCTGATTCTGTGATTCTGCGATTAATAAGGAGGTTGACCCAGGTGTGCTACAAAGATGAATCCAGCTTGCCTTCCTCACTCCTTCCTAAGGCAACTTCAGGCAGAAGGATTTTCGCTGTGAGTGTCCCAGGACACTCTCCCGACCTCAAACCTGACCCTGGCTCCCCTGTCTCCAACAGGCCTTTCTGGAGCCGGCAAGACAACCATCGGCTTTGCCCTGGAGGAGTACTTGGTCTCCCACGGCATCCCTTGCTATTCCCTGGACGGCGACAACGTCCGGCACGGCTTGAACAAGAACCTGGGTTTCTCGGCGGCCGACCGCGAGGAGAACATCCGGCGCATCGCCGAGGTGGCGCGGCTCTTCGCCGACGCCGGGCTCGTCTGCATCACCAGCTTCATCTCCCCCTTCACCAAGGTACCTCCAGGCAGCACGGCCTGCCCTTCCCTGGCCTCCCCGCCCCGATTGTTCCCGGGGAAGAAGGCAGATTCGCTTCCCGGGCGGTGCTTCCTCCCTCTTCCTCCGCCACACAACCGTCAGTTTTGGGAGGGCGGTTTGCCGTGACGTCCTTGCGTGTACTCCGTGGTAAGGGGGGGGTTAAAATCTCCCTGCAGAAGGCAGAAAAGAGGCCCAGAAGCCACGGCCTGTGCTAGAGCTATCTCTGCTCATCTGGATGAAGGTTTGATTGTGGGTTTTTTTTTTTGCTTCCCGAGGGGACCGAGTAGCTGCTGTTATCAAGCTGCTGCAAGCACTTCCTCCTCTCACAGAATCACTAAGGTTGATCACTCAGACCTCTGAGATCATCAAGTCTGTCCAGCTGTTTTCTGACACAGGGCAGATAGTTATTCACAATCTGAAGTTCTGCTGTCCTGCTTCACGAAAAGGTGTTGAGGTTTTGGATGGAAAAAGCTGAAAACAGAACGAACTTGTAGATTTGTACAGGTTTTTTTTTTTTCAAGTATCTGTAAAGAAAAGGAGGGGGAAGGAAGATGAAAGCCCTTATTAGAATTAGTGTAAATGTAATAAATCCGTAACAGAGACAAATTTGCCTGTGTCAAGCTCCAGGACACATCAGGTAGCAGGAAGGGGCTTGCTGCAGTTTGGACACACGGGATTTTCCCACCTGTCTTCTAACAGGATCGTCAAAACGCACGGAAAATTCACGAGGCAGCTGGACTCCCTTTCTTTGAAATCTTTGTGGATGCTCCTTTGAATATCTGTGAAAGCAGAGATGTGAAGGGCCTGTACAAAAAGGCAAGAGCTGGAGAGATCAAAGGTACGTAGAGGAGTGAGGTCTTACTTTGCCTTTACTTTCCAAAGCACTGGACACCTCATTGCACATAGAGGGGGGGTTTCTAAAGGCTCTTTGTGGAGCACAAGAGGATCCTGTTTCCCTAATCTTGCTGTCACAAGTGTCACTTGTCATACCCAGCACGGTTGAACGCCTGCTGGTTGTTTGCACAGCGTTGTTGTTGGCTCTGGGGCGGCGAGTGCTGCGTTAAATAAATTTAATTTGGGGTTTCATTGTCCGTAGGGTTCACGGGGATTGACTCGGAGTACGAGAAACCCGAAGCTCCCGAGCTGGTGCTGAAAACGAACGTTGCATCAGTGTCTGAATGTATCCAGCAGGTTGTGGAGCTCCTCCAAGCACAGGTAGGTCATTTTTATGTCTCAGATTTGGAATCTTGCTGTGGGACACGGGCTTTCTGATGTGTACATAAAAACCAGCGTGTGTCTTACAGGTGCTGTCTCTTCTCTGTCTTTCAGAATATCGTTCCTCGGGGCTCAATTAAGGATGTTCTTGAGCTGTTTGTGCCTGAAAATAAGCTCAGCAGTGTCCGAGCTGAGGCAGAGAAGCTGCCATCCGTGGAGATCACTAAGGTACTATTGTGGGTTCTGGCATTCTTTAGCTGATCCAAGGGTAGAAGCTTCCAGGAGAGTGTTGCCAGAGGGGCCTGTGTTCCTGTGATGGTGATGGCCACGTCCTTTTCTGGCCGTGGTTTATGGTGAGCTGAGGTGTGATCCTGACCCTCAGCTGTTTTCTGCTCTGTGCTGTTGAAAGTGAGTCCCCTTTTAATAACAGCCCCACAAGTTCACACTGACAAGTTGGATATTAGGAAGAAATCGTTCCCTGTGAGGGTGGGGAGGCCCTGGCACAGGTTGCCCAGAGAAGCTGTGGCTGCCCCTGGATCCCTGGAAGTGTCCAAGGCCAGGTGGGACGGGGCTTGGAGCAACCTGGGAGAGTGGAAGGTGTCCCTGCGCATGGCAGGGGGCTGGAGCTTTAAGGTCCCTTCCAACCCAACCCACTCTGTGACTCTAAAGGAGCGTGACAGGAGTGCCCTGTGGGTTTGTTTTGCAGCTGGATCTGCAGTGGGTGCAGGTGCTGAGCGAAGGCTGGGCCACCCCGCTGAAGGGCTTCATGCGCGAGGCAGAGTACCTGCAAGTGCTCCACTTTGGCACCCTGCTCAACGGTATGGATCCCCCCTCCCTGCAGGAATGCTGGCCGGGAAGCCACTGTGGGATGGGATTCCCGCCCCACGGAGGTGGTTTCCTCTCTTGTGTTAAGGTGGCCGAGGTCGCCGTGCTGTGGGCACGGCCCTGGCTCCCAGCTCTGACCACCCTTCAGGCATTTTGGGAACCCTTGGGTAGCCCTTTCCACCTTATTTACACCAGGGTAAATAGAGCTGAATCCCCAAGGCCAGGCTGAGCTTGGAGGTGGGAGGAGAAGGCACCTCTTCCTTGGAAACAGGAGCAGAGCCTGATTTCTCTCCCCCCACCCCACTTTCCTGCTTATCCGCTACAAATTGGATAACTTGAGACGATCCAGATTTCCTTATCCATTAGCAGCGTGTGCTCCATCCCTGGAAAAGGCAAGGAGCGCTCAGGCAACCATCACCCACAGCCTGAGAGAGGGGCATAGGTGTTCCCATCCCGTTTCTCAGCTGCAGATGCTGTCACTGTGACTGCACTTAGGGGCTTTGTGGAGCTGGTAGTGACCTCTGCCCGCAGGAATCTGGGATCTTGGCGAGCCTTTGAGCCTTTGGCCTTCCCTCCAGAAGTTCCCATGGTGGGCTGGGGCAGTGACTCGCTGCTGTTGTCAGGGTTTGGGCACCGTGCAGCAGAGGCAGAGCCCAGCACTGCTCCCTTTGGACTGTCTGGGTGGGGGCTTCTGCTCTCAGGCACATCATAGCCTTTCACCTCCTTCCCAGGGCGCAGGCAGCGTTCAGAAAGCACATGGCCCTGTTATCAGAGCCTGCTCTGTGGTCTTTGAGCCGCCTGCTGTGCCTGACGAGGTCGCAGAGGTGCCCCTTGATGACCACGTTGCTTCAGAGCTCCGTACTTTGCGCCGGAGGCTCGTCTGGTTTTGGGGGTGCCCTCCCCCGCCTCCCCTGCAGGCGTCACTGAGCAGAGCTCCTCTGAGGTTTGTGGGTGTATGTTCAGGATCTGTGGAGCTCCGTGGGGTCAGGGACAAAGGCGGGACAGCAGCTTTGCAAGTGGGGATGAACTCCTCCGAGCGAGCTCTTTGTGGCAGAGAGCATCAACCCGGTCCCTGGGCCACCTCGTCTCCATGGAGGTCTCCAAGCTCGACATCTGCATGGGCAGGCCCTCAGGGTGACATTTGGACAGGAGGGAGAACATCCCAGGTGCTCCTGGATGAGCTTCAGGAAATGGTGGAAGGTTCCACCTCGTGGTGCTGGGAACTGCACTGGCTAAGAGAGGTTTGAGGCTGGTCCTTCCAGTGTCAGTCCAGCCCTTTTGCCCTGGGGTGTGAGGGAGTTTTCAGCAGCTCCAGCAACGGTTTTGGGGGACTTATTCAAGTTAATGCTCCGCTTGCTCAGCCTTGGGGCAGTAAATCCCACCTTGACATCCCAGTGGCTGGATGGATGGTGAGCTTGGCAGCCACCGGGGAGGGAGGGAGGTGGATCTGCAGGAGGGCTGTGGGGTCTGCAGTGCTCTGCCCTCTCTCTGCTCCAGCAGTGCCTGGCTGCCAGGAGGGGGTGACAGTGGCAGCAGAGCTTTTGTGGCCACTGTGACCCGTGTGGGGATGGGTGGGCACCACAGAAGTTGGGGTGGCACCCTGGAGGGCCACAACCACACCGTCAGGCCCGTGCTCGGGTGGTGCCCGGCTGAGGTTTTAAAAGCTTTGGTTCTTGCAATGGTTTCTGTAAGGTGCCTGTGAGTGTTAATTATCTTAATTATCTTAATTGTGTTTGTGTTCTCGCAGGAAAGAGTCCCTTGGTAGCTGGTATGTATGTAACTGTCCTTAGGCTGAGCGCAAATTACTGCAATTGAGATTTTTTTTTTTTTTTGCTATAATTTTTTGAGATTTATTTAAAAAACAACAACAACAACAACAAAAAAACCACCCCCCAAAATTAAATTCTTAAGTCTAGACACAACTGTGGCCTGGTTATGATCCACATGGCCTGAGACATGCCATGTCCTCCAGACCACAAAAATCCCAGTCGTGCAGTTTTGTGATTACCATCCATCGCTGGGGTGATCTTTTGTTCAATCTCCATCTTGCATTTGGAAATAGAGCCTGAAGAGCCTCCCTTTCAGCATCACTGGTTGGTTTCATAATCCAGCTGTTTGTTTTTCCCGTGCTGACTTCATTGACTGATCGCTGTTAATGTGATTTAAATGTATGAAGTTGATATTGATTGGATCCCATGTGACTGCAATTCTGATTATTCGTGGAAATTGCTGCCTGGCAGACGAATGATACCCGGTTGTGAATTAAAAGCAAGTGCAAATATTTTAATAAGGATTAAAAAAAAATCTACAACCCAGTCAAAATGCTCAAATTAAGACTCTCAGGGGTCCAAACTGATTTCAGTCGGATCAGAACCAAGTGAATCAGTGATTTGTTTGTGACTGGGAGCTCATGGGGAGGGACTGATTCTTCTGGATTAACACTGGAATTATCCTAGGAGGAATGGGAGGACTGGGACATTGAAGAATGGGGATAAAACCAACATGATTTCAAGGTGTTTAGGGACAACACCAAAATCAGGGACTGCATGTGCAAGTCTAGACTTGCTGTGTCCACCCAGATTAAAAAGGGACAAGTGCAGAGATATCAAGCAGGAGGAGTAGCAGTACAGAGATATCAGTACAGAAAAAAACCCCAAGGAAACCAAGTGTGGTGGTGTTATCCCTGCTGGAAGAGGCAGCTCAGGAGGTGTGCAGGGAACGGGGTGCTGCAGGGAACACCGTGTCCATGGAGGTGGTTCTCTGGAGGAGGACGAGGCAGGGCTGACACCCAGGGCTGCGTTTCCCAAGCACGTTCACACTCATTAACTTCACAGCTAATGGAAAAGAACCAGGGAAAGAGCGGGAGTGCAGGAAGCAATGAGATGCTCCAGGTGTCTTGGAGACATCTGTGTCCCTGGGATAAGGAGCTTTTGGATCCCGCCGAGGTCACACCTTACCGGCAGCGCCGAAGGGAAACCGGCGCGATGACCGAACTCGCGCAGAAACCTCCTCTCTCCGTGTTTCCGATTCCCGGGGCTGGAGGATGGTGAAGTTGTGCCCTTCTCTTGGCAGATGGCGTGGTGAACCTGAGCATCCCCATCGTGCTGCCGGTGTCCTCGGGGGACAAGCAGCGGCTGGAGGGCTGCGAGGCGCTGGTGCTCAGCTACCAGGGCCGCAGGGTGGCCGTGCTCAGGAGCCCCGAGTTCTTCGAGCACAGGAAGGAGGAGCGCTGTGCCCGTGTCTGGGGCACCACCTGCCCCAGGCACCCCCACATCCAGGTAAGCTTTGTCCCCCTGCTGCCCCCAGGAAGCCTGGCTGGGGTGGCAAAACCGGGTTTTGAGGGCCGTGGGTTTCCTGCTTGCCCAGCTCCTCGCTGGGAATCATCACATCCTGAGCAGGCAGGACTGAGGAGCTGGACTCGATGGTTCTGCTGGGTCCCTTTCATCTCAGAATATTCTGTGAAATTTTAGGCTAAGGAGTCAGTGCTCCTCAATTTGGCTGTTCTGTGCAGGCAGCCAACAGGGGTGTCGTGTTTTTACAGCTCCTCTCTTCCCACTTGCTCTCTGGCAGTACAAGGAGTTTCATCCCTCACAGAAGGGGAGAGCTCTGGGTGCCACCCAGTGACTTGAGCTGTCAAAACTTGTGACTCTGCCTAAAAAGGCTAAAGCTGTGTTAGTTCTTTCCCCCTCCCTTGAAACACCTCTTGGAATGAGTCAGCAGCAGGTGTTCACCGTGCAACAGGCGTATTCCCAGGAGGAAGGAGCAAAGGGTGAGGTGGAGGAAGGTCTTGTGCCATACCTTGTACACTCCTGGCTGCCAGAGTGCAGCACCCAGCTGGGTGCAGTGGTGGGGACTGGGTGGCTGGCATGTGGTCACTGCAACGAGGTTTTTCACCTACAACAGTGCTAAAGGGCAAGGGAAGATCACCCTGCCAGCAGAGTGAAGCCTAAAGCTTTTCAAAGGAGACTGGGAGAGGGAAAAGGAGGTACTTGCTGCCCCCTCTGCCCTGCATGTGTGTGTGTGTGTGTGTAATCCACAGATGGTGATGGAGAGTGGAGACTGGCTGGTTGGTGGAGACCTCCATGTCCTGGAGAAGATCAAGTGGGACGATGGGCTGGACCAGTACCGCCTGACACCACGGGCTCTGAAGCAGAAGTTCAGGGAGATGAACGCTGGTGAGTGCCCCGGGCTGGCACTGGGGGCACGGCTGTCCCTGCCCCAGCTGGCACCGGCAGGGTGGTGTGATCCGTGGGGACGCGCTCCCAAACTCGCAGCACTTGCCAGGTTGCTTGCGGATACTCCCAAAATGGGGCTGTTCCGGTGGGGTTGAGCAGTAAGAGGCACGGAAAGCGGGGCAGGGTCTCTGTGGTTAAAGATGGTGCTTGTGATGGGCTGGGCAGCGCAGCGTCCTCCCTGGCAGGTCAGAGCCTCCCTGTCTGCACTGACAGGGCTGGCCTTCACACGTGGGGACAGCTCAGGTGTCTTCTCCTAGGGGCTACCCCACAGAATCACAAGAGTGGTTTGGGTTGGAAGAGACCCAAAGGATCATCTCATTCCAGCCCCCTGCCATGGGCAGGGACACACCTTCCCCTAGTCCAGGTTGCTCCGAGCCCCGTCCAGCCTGGTCCCAGCAGGCCGGCAGAATTCAGACACCCACCCTGGCTTTGGGGAGAGCGTTGGCCTTCCTGAAGGTGCCACTGAGCTTGGCAAGTCACTTGGGAAGTTGGGGAACTTGCTGGAGGTGTCTGTCCACCTACAAACGTTACAGGAGGGCTGAACATTATAGGACTGAAACCAGCCCCAAAGGAAGGGCGTGTAATGAGAACAACCTTGGCAGAGCCACAGATCTGCGTGAAACACTCACCTGAGGTATTTAAGGCCTCACTCGTGCGGGGGCAGGACACTCTCATGACTCTGTGTGGAAATGCCAGCTGTGTAAAACGAAGCCAGGGGGCCCTGAGGGTCGGTGCCAGCCCCGTGACCCTCCGCGTCCTTCCCTTCCAGACGCCGTCTTTGCGTTCCAGCTGCGCAACCCCGTCCACAACGGGCACGCCCTGCTCATGCAGGACACGCGGCGCCAGCTCCTCGAGAGGGGCTACAAGAACCCTGTGCTCCTCCTGCACCCCCTGGGGGGGTGGACCAAGGATGATGACGTGCCGCTGGAGTGGCGGATGAAGCAGCACGCGGCCGTGCTGGAGGAGCAGGTCCTGGACCCCAAGTCGACCATCGTGGCCATCTTCCCCTCTCCCATGCTCTACGCTGGCCCCACGGAGGTAACGGAGCCCTTGGCTGCTCCCTGGGGCAGGGTGTGCTGGGGGTTCTGCTGCCAACCCGCCCCTGCAGCTCCGGGAAGTCCCAGGAGGGGAGTTGTAGCCGTTCCCTCCACAGTTCCCCCCTGCACTTGCTGCCCCAGCTGTGTCCCTGCAGAGCTCGGCTCTGTGGGTTCCCATCCCCTCACTTGGGGATGAGGGGTAGAAACAAGATTTCCCCTTTTCCTGTCGAGCAGGGACGTTCATTTTCCCCCCCACCACCCCCCGTGGTTTCCCTGCCATCCCTAAATCAGTGAGACCAAAGGAGTCAGTGCTGGACCTGCCCTGAGGGAGGAGGGGAGGGATGGCCGTGTGGTGGGCACCGCCTTTGCACATTCAGGGTTCAAACTGCGGCCTCCATTTGCCGCCAGATTGGAACAAACCCCGTTCCCATGCCCAGTGTTTCCCTGGAAATACGTGTCCTTAGGAGAACTGTGGCTGCATCAGGCCCAAGCAGCAGAAGATGTGCCTGGGTGGCACAAACCCGCAGCCAGGCTGCTGACACATCTCCTTCCTTCCTTCCTTCCTTCCTTCCTGCCTGCGTGAGGACAGCCAGGAGCTCTCTGGCAGCCCGGGCTGGGTGGCCCCGTTGCTGCCCAGCCCTCAGCCTTGTGTCCCCACCCTCCCCGTGCAGGTGCAGTGGCACTGCCGAGCTCGGATGATCGCGGGCGCCAACTTCTACATCGTGGGGCGCGATCCCGCGGGAATGCCGCACCCCGACACCAAGAAGGACCTCTACGAGCCCACGCACGGCGGGAAGGTGCTCAGCATGGCCCCGGGGCTCACCTCGGTGGAGATCATCCCCTTCAGGGTGGCCGCCTACAACAAGCTGAAAAGGGCCATGGATTTTTATGACCCCAAAAGGTAATGGTGGCGGCGTTGCGGTTCCTTCGGCCCCTTCCCCCACAGCACGGGGGGTTTTGTGGTCACCGGGACAGAGGGAAAACCCTTGGTGTTCCTCCTAAGGAGAGGAGTGAGGGGGCAGAACCTGGGGAAAAACCCCTGGAATTATCCCCCACTGAGGGCTGTCGCCAGGTCAAGGATGGCTCATGTGGAACTAAAGGTGCCACAGGGAGGATGAGCAGCACAGTCTGGGGACTGAGTGGCGGGAGAAACGCAGCCTCTCCATGCTGGGAACTGTGCTGTGGATGCTCCAGCTCCCCTTGGTCGAGGATGACTTTGGCCAGCTGTGCTGATGTCGCTGGCCTCTGTTTTGCACAGGCACGACGACTTCGACTTCATCTCAGGAACCCGCATGAGGAAACTCGCTCGGGAAGGTGAAAACCCACCGGACGGCTTCATGGCCCCCAAAGCCTGGAAAGTCCTCACCACCTACTACCAGTCACTGGAAAAGAAGAATTAACGCTTCTCCTCCTCCTCCTCCCCAGAAATTCTTGTATTAAGAGTGAGCAATGATTGATTGATTCCCTATGACACTGATCAGTTACTTGGCATTTCCAGTGCTCTGACCGAGGGATTTTCCCACCCGGGTCAGGGTGGTTTTTACTAATCAGCAATACTTCGAGCCTGGTCCTTCCCCCCTTGAAGCTGCTGGGAGCGTCCTTGTGGAGCTGGAAGGGAAGGGCAGCAGGTCCTTCATTCACTCCCAGCTCATCCTGGTGGCAGGAAGCCCAGCACAGCCTCCAGGTGGGCCACACGGATATTTTGGAGCTTTCCCCCCCGAGATGGGGCCTCGGCACCGGGATAAATCCTGCCTGTCCCCTGCGTGGGGCAGGGATGAAGAAGTGCCTTCCCAGTGCCTCTCTGCTGACGAGGCAGGAGCAGGTGCTGAAGCGAGGAGCGGATCCAGTCACCGCCCTCCAGGTTGTGCCTTAGACAATTGTCCCTAAAAAACAGCGGAATCTTTTTAATGCCCTTTCTTAAAAGGATTTTTTACAATCAGCCTTGACCACCACCACCAGTTCCTCGTGGCCGAGCCAGTTGCTCACTGTCATTCCTTGCTTCCTCCTGCTGGACCTCTCTGGTCCAACAAAACCCAGGCTGAGCATTCCTGGTGCTCTGGGTCCAGTTCTCCATGGGGACTGTGACATTGGTGCTCCCTGTGCTCACAACCTGGCAGGAAAAGCAGGCCTGGGAGGCACCTGAGACCTCTCAGAAAGCAAGAATTTGGATGTGCCAGCAGAGGACAGTCTCTTGTTACTCCAGCCACCTGAATTCGTGATTTTTATACCTGTCCTCCCTTAGTAGCTGCCCCAGATCCGGTCAGGATGTGTTCCCTAGGAACAGGGACCAGCATTCCCCTCTTGTTGTGCTTCAGTGTTAATTCCAAACGGATCCACGTCCAGCAAAACCAACCAGCTTGCCAGGGTAGGGAGTGACAGCACCAGCTCGGAGCTGCTCTGCTGGGGCCATGGCACAGCGTCCAGGCCTTGGGATAAGGTGGAAAACACCCTCTCCCCCCAAAAAAAAATGCTGGGTTTTAAAGTAATTTTTATAAAGTCTTTGGAGCAAAGAGCCCAAAGCTTGTGTTATAGCCCAAGGAAATGCTGCAGCCTCCGTGGTGGGAGCTGACAGCACCTCAGCACCTCATCTGCTCAGGCCCTCTGGCAGGGACCTGGAAGCCAAAAGCAAGATTCCCACTTCGGATTTTTAAGGAGTGAAGTGGCGCTGTTGCTGCTCATCTCATCAAACAATCCAGCGTTAAAAAACCCTCTGTGGTAAATCCAGGTGGTTACAGCAAACACAGCTGTTGTATTGTCCTGTTAAACCAGCGTAGTGTCCTGATTACCTCTGATTCCAGTATGAGGGCTGGGGCTTTTATAGTGTATTTATTGAAGACATGAGACTGGAATTTGTACTTCAGCTGATGGCATCTCATGATTTAATATATTCTGAACTCGCTGCTCTGCTACGAAACCCTCACTTTTAGTACAAATAAATATTTATACACGTAAGGAGCTCTCACTTGGATTTTTTTCTGGGGGAGAGACTTCGCTTTGCATCTCGGAGACTCCATGCAGTTTGAGCAGCTGGCCCTGGAGGTGTGGGAGAGGGATGAGGCTCATCCCCACCTCTGAGGAGAGGCAGGATCAGAGGGGGAGGATTGGACCAAACCGCTGGAGCCACGGGATGGAAGCGGCCACGTTCCTGCAGGACAAACCACGCTGCTCCCCCAGCCATTCTAGCAGGGCTTGAGCTTTGACAAGAAGGACTCCTGAGGCGGCAGCAAGAGTAGACAAGTCTGGAAAAGTTCTAGGAGAAGTGGGAATTGCAGTTCAGCTGCAGTAACTGCCTTCAGGGGCAATTGGAAATAACTCCTCGTGCCTCTTCAGTCAGCCCGTGGTGATACGGGCACGAGGAGAAGGCAAGATCCAGCCATGCCAAGAGCCAGGATTTTGGAAAAACAGGCAGATCAGAGCTCAGCCAGAGGCTGTCCCGGCACCTGCCAACAGCCCAGGGTTTGTTCCTGCTCTCCTGCCCTCAGTGGGATATTAAAAACTCCCCTGAGGATACACTTTACACTCAATTAACACCAATTAAGACCTGTCTGCGCTGGGTCTTTACCAAATAGGAAGCAGCCTGAAAAAAAGGGTTGGAGGTGCAGGAGGAGCTTCCCAGCCCAGCATTTCTCAGGTGTAACAATCCTGGAGAGGGGCTGGAAAAGTGTCAGGACAGGCATGGAACACGTGGATCAGCTGGAGCACCTGGCACAGGCATCATTTCAACCTTGTGAGAAACCAGATCCTGGTAAGCAGCACAGTTTGCAGGTTTAATTCTAAGGTGGATCATAGAATTGTGGAATGGTTTGGGCTGGAAGGGACCTTACAGACCGTCCAGTGCCACCCCCTGCCACGGGCAGGGACACCTCCCACTAGCCCAGGTGGCTCCAAGCCCTGTCCAGCCTGGCCTTGGACACTTCCAGGAATCCAGGGGCAGCCACAGCTTCTCTGGGCAACCTGTGCCAGGGCCTGCCCTCCCTCACAGGGAACAATTTCTTCCCAATATCCCATCTGGCAGTGGGAAGCCATTCCCCCTTATCCTGTCCCTCCAGGCCCTTAGAAATATTCTCTCTCCATCTTTCCTCTCGACCCCTTCAGGTCCTGGAAGGCCACAGTTGGGTCACCCCAAAGCTTCTCCTCTCCAGGCTGAACAATCCCAGCTCTCCCAGCCTTTCCCCACAGCAGAGCTGCTCCATCCTCTGATCCTCTTGGTTCCTCCTCTGGACTGGCTCCCTGAACCCAGAGCCAGCTCTGTCACCCATCCCCGCCCTCGGTCCCAGCACTAACATGACAGGGCAGGATTAGCATCCCACATCCCAGGCTTTTCCCATTTCCATAGCCCAGCATTTCTGCCATGCCTGATTTCATGCACCCCTGTGTGAGAGCAATGTGCATCTCCCCTTGTTTTTTTTTTTGGATACAAGAAAAGGAGTCTAAGCAATTCTTTGGTTCCTTTTAAACCGCCCTCCCTCCTCATTTGGTTTCAAGATGAAATTGGGTCAAGCTCAGCCCTGCTGCATCCCCAGCCCAGCGTTCCAGGAAGCAGCAGGGAGCGAGCTGTGCTGGATGGACACTGTCAGCAGCCCCCACACTGGGTGATGATGGCAGGGCTCCAGCCCTCTTGATTTCACTTTATTTCACTTCGCAGTGCGTTCGCTTTTACATCATTCTCCGCTTCCAACGCCTCCCCTCCCCTCCCAGGCAGCAGAGCTGGGACACAACACTCCACCCCAGGGGTTGGAAACGATTCCCTTTACAGATTGGTGTTCAATTAGTGCACAGTTCGTCAAATCAGACAGAGAAAAATTAAGTCCTTGAGTATCTCTGACAAAAAAAAACTTCACCAAAGCACTTCTGCCACTCGCACTGGCAAGCCCTCAGAACGTGAACTCACCAGAACTGTTACCAACAAGCACAGCACGTTGCTAAATCACATTTAAAAGCCTAAAGCCCTTCCTCTCCTCTTCAGTGCCCGGATCCAAGCACGTGACAGAGCCAAACACCACACAGTGTGTCCCCCTGTGTGTCACAGCTGTGACACCTCACGCTGTGGAGCCACACTGGGGCCTCCAGAGGAGACTGAGAAAGCAGCAAGTCCTCAGTACAAAGCACAGGAGCTCAGGAAGCCACGGCCCCAGAGAGCTGGGAGAGACCGGGCAAGGTTCTACTCTAAATGCTCACATCAAGGGAAAAACCCAAAAATAAAACCAGCGTCCATTTTAAAAAAAAAGCAGAATTCATACAAAATTAAAAGTGTTCAAACATTTGTACAGGGGAGTTTTGCTATCTTTACTAAATGGCACCGGATTTCAAGTGGTCACGTGACAGAGAAATCAGTAGCATTTCCGAGTTTGCTTTGTTTCTAGAAGCAGTTTCTATCATCTTGGTATTTGCTGCTAAAAGGTAGAAGTGAACTGAGTACCGAGGAAACCTTTCATCTACACATCTCCTCATTTGGTTTGCTTCAGTTAAGTAGAAAAAGATTTTTCCATACTCAAGTTATCTACAGATTATGTCTATATATATATATATATATATATATATTAAAAAAAAAAAAGGGGGTGTGGGTATTTACACAGGTCACAGTTACACACAGCCCTGCCATGGATTGGCCCCCTCACCCCGGTGCCCCCGTGTCCCACCTGCTGGAAGGCTCCTCAGTGGATCAGCGTGGGACAACACTCTCGGGCTGGGCTCAAGTCTCATGATCTCCCCGCTGCACTCCCAGTGGCGCGCGATGGAATTTCAATAACTTAGAAGTTGTTGTATCAAAACGATTCCAAGAACCAAGAACTCCCTCGTCCGTCCCCGCTCCCCCCCCCCCCCCCCCCCCCCCCCCCCCCCCCCCCCCGCCCCGGCATTGGTTTTTGCTAACTGATTACAGAAGTCAAACTAAATCACGTCAGGAACTGCAAACGCGCCTCTCTGGGCTTAATCAAAAACAATCTCCATGGCCAGGTTCTGCATGGACATATCCTTGGATTTCCTCATCTTCTCGATGGCCCTGTGGAGGTCCTGCTGCTGCATGGGCCGGATTTCAGCCTCGTCGTGGCTTCGAGAGAGAGGGAGAAAAGGCAAGGTGAGGGTTCAGGTGCTGTGGAACAGCTATCCCAGCAGTGAGCAGCAATCACTGGGAACTCTGATATGGATCCAGCACCACGCTGGAATTATGGAATCATTCAGGCTGGAAAAGATCTGCCAGCCCATGGAGTCCCCCCTGTGCCCGATGCCCACCTTGTCCCCCAGCCCAGAGCATTGAGTGCCACGGCCAGGCCTGCCTGGGACACCTCCAGGGGTGGGGACTCCAAACCTCCCTGGGCAGCCCCTGCCAAGGCCTGACCACCCTTTCCAGCAACAAATTCCTCCTGATGTCCAACCTGAGCCTCCCCTGGCACAGCTGGAGGCCGTTCCCTCTCCTCCTGTCCCTTGTTCCCTGGGAGCAGAGCCCGACCCTCCCCGGCTCTTCCCTCCTGTCAGGGAGTTGCAGAGCCAGAAGGTCCCCCCGAGCCTCCTTTTCTCCAGGCTGAGCCCCCCCAGCTCCCTCAGCCCCTCCTGCTGCTCCAGCCCCTTCCCCAGCTCTTTTCCCTTCCATGGACACGGCTCCTGTGCACGCAGGGACTCCCTGCAGGCGTGGGGGATCCCAGAGGGACACTGCAGCACCGCATCACCAGCACCGAACCCCGGCACAAACTGCAGCACCACGACGTGCTGGCTCGTGCCATCTCCAGCCTGGCACAACCCCCCCCTCATCTCCAGAGTCAACATCAACAATGGCAACTTGGATTCTGAAAGCTGTGGGGGGGGGTTTTGGAAAGGCAAACCAGACCCTCCCGCGCTGCGAGGGGGTCGAACTGCCCCGAAATTCCCGGCTGCGATCGGAGAGCGCGACGGCAAGGCCGGGCAGGGGGAGCTGAGCCCTGCTGGGGGCCGGGAGAGGCGCGGCACGTACGTGTCCTCCTCGCAGGCGCTGTTGACGTACTCCCGCATGCACAGCAGCGCCGCGTCCCGGCACATCTCCTTCAGGTCGCTGCCCGAGAACCCGTCGGTCTCCTTGGCAATCTGCAGCAGATCCACGTGCCTGTCCACCTGCCGGAAACCACAAGGGCAGAGCATGGAGACTCCGGAATCCCTGGCAGTCGAGTCACCTCCAAGGATTTTTCGCCTGCCCACGGATCATCTTCGCCATCTGATGTTGGCGAGAGGTGAATCACCAGCTTAGGCTCGGAACCCTCCAGAGGGTTTATTTCACCAGAGGAAACTGTCGCTGCAGCTCATCACACTCTGGAGCTGATTAAGGAAAACCCACCAAAACCCACCCAAAAGCCAACCATCCCAACGCTAACCAAGCTCCTGCGTGGCAAAAAGCGGATCCCAGGAGCAACGACCCGTTTTCCCAGATGCCCACAGAGGTTTTTCTCAGCAACTCTTCTTGTCTGGACACCTGCTCCTACTTTTTGCAACCCCAAAACAGGGATTTAGAGGCAAATTAACGTGTCTGACTCCATGCAGTGGACCAGACTGAACTATTCCCAGTCAAGACCCCGCATTTATTCCATCTTTTTACAGCCTCTTCCGGTCCATCAGTTTTTCCTTTTCCTTTGCAGCATCAACTTCAAGACAAAATAGTGCTGCTGACTAAATTTGGGAGGAACCACTGGTAACATGGATCCCATACCCTGCCCACAGACACTTCCAGGTGTGCTCACACTGAGCCCTTGGAGGGCAGACGGGACACAAACACCACACAACATGTGCAGCGGTTTTCCTCTAAAGGGAAGAGGAATTATGGAGCAAAAGCAGCATTGCCAAAAAAAGTCATTCCTCCTTTCTTGGCTTGAGCCGAGAAAGAGTTAAAGGAAGGTCTTCAAATGTCCTTCACTCATCCAAATGGGATTCAGCATCTTTAGGGAGATAAATATATATTATCTAGTTATAGAAGGAGTAAATGGAGACAGAGAAATGAAGTGACTCTGCTCAGGGGTGGTGATTCACCCCCAAATCCGAGGCTGCTGCCCTGCTGAGGCTCATGCTTACAGGGCAGGCAACTCTTAGTAGTGCTTGAATGTGAGGCCACACCTAAATCCACAAAAGATTCCCAAGTTATCAGCAGGAATACCTCATCGGGTAATCTCTCCCTCCCTCCAAGGCAGGCAACCGTAGAACGTGTTTTCTGCAAGGCCAGTGATGTCACCAGCAAAGGACACGCGAGCAGGGCTCTACTTACATTTTCATTTTTCAAAATGAGCTTCAGGATGGCTTCTCTTTGCTTCAGAGCCTGCGGCAGAAGAGACCAAAGTTACCACGGGACAAAAATGAACACATGTTACATCGAGCCCTTTGGTGGGGCTTTTGGTCCCAGTTCAGCCACACAGGCTGGAGATGTGAGGGAACCTGTCCGAGAGCAAATTTACTTCTACAGGTGATGCTTGGGGCATTTGAAGCAACACAAATCACACCCTGTGATGAGGTTACAGTGAGGAACAGTTGAGCCCTGAGCAGATCTTTACCAGCAAGGTAAGACACAGGCAGCAAAATCTGGGGTTTGTGTCTCCCAAACTTCACCTACATCCTTAAAAAGGGGAAAAAAAAAAAAAAATCCCCCCACAGATACTCTGGCAGCTGAACAGTTGCTAATCTGTCCCCAAAAAGCATTTCTTCCATTTTCCTCTGCCTTGTATTTTCACCTCAAACTCAGTTCTAAAAATCTGCAAGGCTTTCCCTCCTACCCGTGGCCCTTCCTCATCCTGTTCCAATGTTCATCATGTTCAAAGGAGACTAAAATACCTGGAAAGGGGGTGGCAGTAGCAACACTGCTAGCAAGGGCAACCTTGCGACAGCTGGCTAATTGATGAAGACCTTAATTACTGCCTCTTGGTCACAAAACCTCCCAGAGGGACATCACCTTAAAAAGGTGAGTTACGGACATGCTCCTAACAAACCAAAAGCAGATCAGAGGAATTCTGTATTCCCTGAGGAAAAAAAAAAAAAAAAACCAAAAAAACCAAAAAAACAGGGATGTGCATTTTGTGGCTCTGGCAGGACTCACGGGCTGGTTGATGTGGAAGCGCGTGGGCATCCTCCTCATGATGGCCAAGTCCAGGTCCCGGGGGCGGTTGGTGGCTCCCATCACGATCACCTGGGAATTTCCAGCAGGACAACAACACCAGTCAGCCTGAAAGCAGCTTTTGGGAAGCACGGACGGACTGGGAGTTTCAAAAACCAAACAGGTGACTCCTCCCCACTTTATCAAGAACATCGACATCTGTAGAAGTTACGTAAGGAGTTTCCTGGCAGTGATTTCAGCAACAGGCAGCTGAGGGGAGAACTGGGGCCACAAAAGCCACCTTGGGGGGGGGAGGGAGATTTTTCCATCACTCTGAACTTTATGAGCCCACTTTGACAGTTCAAGCTCCAAGAGGGAACTTAAACTTCTGCTTGGCGACGTCACTCTTAGTTCCTGGTGCTCTGGGGGGAATCTGAAAGGAGATGTTTTGGTAGGGTGTTCAAAACTTTAAGTGGTATTTTTGTGCTGGAAAAAGAATCCCAAAATGGTTTGGATAAGGAGGGACCCTTCTGGCCAGGCTGGGGGGCTGCAGGGCAGCTGCAGCAGGGCTGGTGGCACAGAGTCACCCTGCCACCTAGAGCCACCCTGCCACCTACAGGCACCGGGATGGCCGCCTCTCCAGCCCCCAAATTGTCTCACTGCAGGGAAGGAACACTTTGGCTTGCTCCAAGAAATTGTCAAGTGTATTGGGGAAAAAAAAAAAAATACTGCGTTGTGATTGAAAGATGATATTGGTTTGCAGTGAAGTGTTCGTGCCGTTTTATTAGTGGTAAGCAAACACCCTGCTTTAAGCTCCTCAGTGTGTGTATACATATATATTTATATATATATTCACTGCCTTCTACTCATTTTTGGAGAAATCAACTTAAAAACATCTTTAGCACAAGCTTGAGAGAGGAGGAAAAGCAGATTTTACAAACTAATGGATGTCAGTGCACCGGCCATTTACACAAACACGGATTAAAAAGGCTGAAAATTTTACACTGGGAGAATAAACATCCTGTTTAAAGGTTTTTAAAACATTGTTCCAGCTGACAGTTGAGAACACCACCATGCCAGGCTTTTTTTACTACATTCAAATACTTCAGAATCCCACAGTCCCAAAACGGTTTGGGTTGGAAGGGACCCGAAAGCTCCTGTCATTCCACCTCCTGCCCATGGCAGGGGCACCTTCCCCTAGCCCAGGTTCATTGCAGAAATATTTATTTCATGAATGTTTTTTGTTGGTTTGTTTTTACAGCACCAGCAACTTTTGTATTTGTTCTCCCCTCCAAAATACAACACTTACCGGAGGTCATGGAGGGGACGGGAGCACACGGGAATAACGGGATGGAAACACAATTTGGCTTTTGGTGACACTTACTTCTCCACCCTTTCAGATTAACTCCAGAGTCCAGTTCTTGTCCAATCCCTGGAGGTTCCCTATCCCTGGAAGTGTTCCAGGCCAGGTTGGACGGGGCTTGGAGCAACCTGATCTAGCGGGAGGTGTCCCTGCCCATGGCAGGGAAGAGGACGGGATGATCTTTAAATCCCTTCCAACCCAAACCATCCCATGATTCCATGACAAACCAACCAACCTGCACCCGGGATGAATACTGGGATGAATGCCCAGAGCTTTCAATAGCTTCTCCTGAAATCAAAGATTCCTCTTCCTGAAATCAAAGATTCCCTTCACCCGAAGAAAACGTCGTCCCCACAACGTTTTTCGGAACAGTTTCAAAATTCCCAGTGTTGGCAGCTCAGACTGCACACCTGCTTTGCTGACACTGCTGGAAATAACACCTCCAAGAAAACCCAAAGAAGTCCAAACACGGGACTCCTCAGGAAGGAAAATGAGCTGTTAATCTCTCACCTCGTTGCCGTGAAGTGCTGGTCATCGCTGCCAGGTAACAAAACTATCTGGCAATTCCTGCCATCCTTCCAAAGGGGCTCTCTGTGCACAACAGCCCAGAGGAAGGAAATCCCATCCCCTTTTTCCCCCCATCCTCTGTCCTTACCTGGCAGTTATAATCAGTGTCCAGCCCATCCCACAGGCTCATGAACTGAGCTTTCATCATGGCTGTGGCTTCGTGGTCGGTGCTCGACCGGTTCCGTAGGAAGGAATCTGTGTGGAGGGAGAAAGGCAGTTCACTCCCAATCCAGCTGGATTCCTCCTGGGCTATTCCCTTACCTTAGAAATGCATGTTTAATAACCACTGTCACCAAACAGAAAGCACTGCTTAGGATGAAGAGCAGCAGAGTGGAACGGCCCCCATCTTTTCCGTGGCCTCGCGCAGGTGCGTGCCCATCACACGAGCTCACCCCAAAATCCTGTGCTCCAAACTTTCACCTTCCTGAATTCGTGGAAAGCAGCCTCCCCTCCTCCTTCTTCAGCCTTATTCAACTACTGTTCCACAGCTCTCCTAAACCCACATTTTATTTTCCCTCGTGGCAGAAGCACTGAAGTGTTTTTGGTGATGGGTTTCCTTGTGAACCAAAAATAAGCCAGCAACTTGTTCTAACTGTAAATTCCTCCGCTCCCACGAGGAAGGAACATGTTATATTTTTCCTAATTTGCCATTACTTCAAATTTATTACTGAAACTTTTCTTCAATCCTATTTCTATTACTGAACCTGCAGTTTCACGTCACTCAGCTTGCAGGCACTTCCATAAAAAGAGAGATTTTTTTTTTTTTTTTACCTATTTCATCAATGAAGATGATGGATGGTTGGAGCTTTACAGCCAGGGAGAAGACGGCAGCAGCCAGTTTTTGGGACTCTCCATACCACTTGTCTGTCAGCGTGGAAGGCTGGAGGTTGATAAATCTGCAACCTGCTTCCTTGGCTGTGGCTTTGGCAATCAGGGTTTTGCCACAGCCAGGGGGACCGTAGAGAAGGACTCCTGCAAAATTCATGGGGTTAATCACAGGCCCGAGAGCGTCCAGGCTTGGATTTCATCCAGCTCTTCAAAGGGGGAGAAAAGCAAGGTAAGAAAACACTGTTCCCATCAAAGCAAAGTCAGAGATGTTTAAAATAATCCTCATTAAATCACAGCCCACAATACCTAAAGACAGGCATGGGGAGACATTTGGAAAAAGGGCTGGTTTATTGTCCCTGCCCATGGCTGGGGTTGGAATGAGATGATCTTTAAGGTCCCTTCCAGCCAGAACCACTCCGTGATTCCATCCTGTGGATTCTATTCCTGGGCCTATAAAAGGTTCCATAAAACTGAGCCCCACATTTATTTCCTGTCAGCATCTGACAGGCCTTGTTCAGAGCCAGTTTCTGCCCTGCTAATAAAACTTAGCACGGAGGGGTGAGAGAAGGGAAAAAAAAACCACCAAAAAACAGAGCCCACTGACGTTTTAAACAAATTACCCCCAATTAAACATGACATCTCGGATTATTTTTAAAGCTGTCACAGCGGAAGAACTCACAGGGATGTTTTTCTAGCACAGCTGTAAAGGAATTACAGAATTACAATTTAAAGAGACAAAACTCAGCCCCCAAAAAAGCCTGAAACGTGGAGAATTAAGGAGTTTTTTTTCCCCTGTTTATGTGACTGAAGATCACAAACACGATTCCTCTGCAGCACTGACTTCCTATCAACACACAGCACAAGCCACTAATAAAACTGGGCAGCTGCCCTAGATGGAAAGTCTGCTTTAAAAAAGATAAATTAAAAAAAAAAAATTTTTTTTTTTTTTTTCCTTCAGCTTATTAGATCATGGCAATTCAAGTAATTTTCCAGGCAGCTTCAATCTGTGACTTCAAACAGAAAGTTAGCCTGGAAAAACGAAACCAGCTACACAAGGGCTGCATTTTCCATCCCTCAGGGCTCAGGGCTGAGAGGGTCTCACAGATCCAGGCAAGGAATGAACAGGTTCGGAGGACAATATTCCAGGGATCAGAGCAGGAAAGATAAACTTTGGTGTTTTGTCCAGTGTTTTAGGTTTAAACTCTGCTTTTGCTTTGCTGTAACACCCGACAAATGTGGCTGTGAGGATTCCAGCTCCTGTTTAACTGCCTGGGAGTTGCAAGATGAAAAAACAGGAGCAGTTAGGCAAGTTAAAAATGCAGGATACAGGGATGGGCCTGGAGGGATGGGATGAGGGGGAATGGCCTCCCACGGCCAGAGGGCAGAGTTAGATGGGATAATTGGGAAGGAATTGTTCCCTGTGAGGGTGGGGAGGCCCTGGCACAGGTTGCCCAGAGAAGCTGTGGCTGCCCCTGGATCCCTGGAAGTGTCCAAGGCCAGGCTGGAGCAACCTGAAATAGTGGAAGGTGGAATGAGATCTTTAAGGTCCTTCCAACCCAAACCATTCCATGGTTCTGTGATTAGTGCAAAGTGCATCACTAATGAACCATTATTAACATGAAACTTCTTCATTAAAGCAGCAGGAGAGGGAAAACCCTCAGGTTTTCCTGAGGGTTTTCCCTCTCCTGCTGCTTTTTAATGAAGAAGTTTCATGTCAATAATCAGTCCTAATGGTTGCCCTTTGGCCTGGCAACACACGTCCCCTTCCTTTTTTTGTGAGGAACTGCCCCTTTTGTTTTTTTTAAATACAGATCTTGTACCATTCCTCTCCTACCTTTTGGGGGCTGCAAGAGCCTGGAATTCCCGAACAGGTATTTCTTCTTGATGGGCAAAATGACAGTGTCTTTCAGATCTGTAATGACATCATCCAAGCCTGCAATATCACTCCAGGTGACCTAGGAGGGGGGGGGAAAAAAAAAAAAAAATATTAGGGATGATCAGCATAGTTCCTGACCCAAGGGAAAAATATCCCAAATTCCCCAAGGAAAAATGCAAAAGCTTCAAAATTAGAGACAAGGGCTTAAAAAACCTCTGCTCTCAACGATGCAATTGTAGCTTTAAAATCACTGGGAATGTTTTCTGCGTGTTCCCACAGATGTGACAGCTAATGAAATCCAGAGTCAAAGCCGAGATATTCCATGCCTGAAGAGCAGGAGGAGCAGGGAAAACTTACATGCATACTGAGCGGGTCCACGAGATGTGCAGCGATGCTCATTTCATATTCTGTCAGCTTGACATTTTTCACTCCAATTTGCTTCATCAGTTTTTCAGCCTGGGGGTGGAGGAGGAGGGGAGGGGGAAAATTAAACACCAGGAGAATCGGAGTTGGAATGTTCCCCTCAAAAATTGGCTTTTTAAAAAATCTTCCGTGTGGAGTTTGGGGAAAAAAAAAAAAAATCTTCTATGTGTCCCTCTAGTCACACCCTAAAAGAGGTTCAATCTTGTTTTAAGCAGAGAGTTCTGCTGTTTCCTAAAGATTTGTTGCCACCTGAGTGAAAACAAGTCAGACGCCTCAGTTCCCACCCAAGCAGTGTCACCCCAGCCCTCCCTGCCCAAATCCACGACTCAGCCACCACGACCCAAAAAAAAAACCAACCCCAGTGAACGTTAAAACAAAGACTTTGGCCTCCCAAAACCTCCACGGTGCTGCACCAAGGAGAGATTAATCCGTTTTTAAGGAAATAGAAGCTACTTCCCAGAAGCCAGTCACTTTATTTTAATGTGCATTCCGTGGGTTTTCCCCGGTTTAAAAGGAAAAGTCGTGAGGTGTGTCAACACAGTTGCACTTTCTCTTTCTGCTCAAACTGGCACTAAGTCCAACATGCTTTTGGGGATGCTGCAGCTTCTTATGTAACAGCTGGCACGGGCACAGATGGGGAAAAGCTGATTTTTTTTAACTCAAAAGTTCATTAGAAAAGGCAAACCAGCCTGAGGTTGCTCAAAAACTGCTGTTTGAATCTGTGACATTTATGTCAGCCAGAAAAGCAAACCAAACAGCTGCCACAATTCCAAAGGAAACGTTTCCCTTTCGGTTCTGAACTGCCCACAAAGCTTTTCCCAGAGCGGGAATTGTTTCAATTTTCACTTTTTTTTTTTTTTTTTTTTTCCCCTCCCCTTTCCAGGAAGGAAATTTGACTGCTCCTGCAGGTCTCTGCCATTAAGTCGCCTCGAAAGCAGCAGAGAATTAAGTTCTCTCTGCTCAAGGTTTTTAAAAAGCAACCAAGAGGCTGATGAGGGTGTGATTTAAGGCAACTGCTGCTCAGCCAAAGGTGTCAGGAGCAGAAGCAGCACTGGGACCACGGACGTGCCGAAAACCAGAAGTGACATCAGCCCCCGCTGAGCAGCTTTGCAGTTTTTTTCTAAACCCCTTCGAGGCAAAAATTGTAATTTTGGAATTTTCTGAAGAGAGCCCAGCAGCCTAAATCCTGAGATTTACTAAGAAACAATCCCAGGTGGGTTTTTTTTTTCCGCCCATCCTGTCGTCGTCCGCGGCCAGTCCGTTTTTCCCTCCCAGCATCCCGACGTTCCAGGGAAACGCCGAAGGACGGAGCTCTACCTGCTTCTGAGCCTCTACTTTCTGCTTCCTGGTGGGGTCGATGGCATCCACCATCCACTTGATGGTGAAATAGGTGACGGCCCCGAAGATGGTGAGGCGGAAGATCAGTCCCACCACCTCGTTCCGGCTCAGGGGCCGCGAGAAGGCCTCGGCGTGGACCATCCTGCTCCCAGCTCTGGAGAGGGGAGGGGGGAAAAAAAAACCACAGGGAAGGGGCAGAAGGAAGGAAAAAAAAAACCAAACCAAAACAAAACAAAAAAAAAATCAAAGGTGAGAAAATCAAAGGTGTTTAAACACTGGGTTATAACAGCTGGGTGCCAGGGGCTGTGGAGCCGGACGGGGCTTGGAGCAACCTGGGCTAGTGGAAGGTGTCCCTGCCCACGGCAGGAAATGATCCTTAATTTCCCTTCCAACCCCAGCTATCCTGGGATTCTATGTGCACATTCCCATTTAGACTGTCATTTTGGGACTGTTCTTGACCCAAGAATGCCAAATCCTGGAGACAGAGAACTCCATTATTTAACCAGAGAAGCCTTTTCCCTACAGGGAAAGTCACCCAAGTGCCACGCTCTGGAGTGATGGATGGCTGGGATTTGACTAAAATGAGGTTAAGAGCTGGAGGCTGCACCTGGCAGGATATATGTGGAGTTATTAATATCCCTGGGAACCTGAAAATGCTGGATGTGGCACACAGCTATCCAGGGAAAACTCTGCCTGCTGTAGGAGCCAAGCCCAGGCAGCACAGCACCTTCAGTGCAGGGGATGTGCTGCACAGAGGGAAGGACTTCTCCTAAAACACTGGAAAATGGCTGGGAAAAGCGGGGTCCTCCTCCTCCTCAACTGGTGTGTGGGGTTCCTCTTGACAATCCCCAGTCACTCCTTGTGCACTGCCTCGCTTTCCTGCTGTAAGGACAAAGCCAGTGGCAATTCCTCTGGCAACTCCTGACGCTCCCTGGCTGCTCTCCAAAGGGAACTGGCAGCCAGGGCAAAGCTGGAGCACCCACAGCCAAGATATCCCTGGATTCCTCCTGCCCGGGGCAAAGCTGGAGCACCCACAGCCAAAATATCCCTGGATCCCCATCCCTGTCTTATGCTGACCCCAAGGCTCTGCATAACCACTGACTCTGGAATCTGGAATTCCACTGGGATTGGGCTCAGGAGAAGCATCACTTGATAGACATCAGCCCCTGGCTCCTGTATCCCAGCAGGATCACTGGCATCACTGGGTTTGAGGTTTTTTTAAAGCTCCCCTCCCTGTTCAGGCAGTTAAAAATCCAGCCTGTCGCTGTGCCCACCTGCCTGGAGACCAAATTAAATTTGCCTGCTTTGGGATTTAAGCAAGTCATCCCGGGCTGGAGGGCTCTGCGTGCCCTCCTCAGCCCGATCCATTAAAATGAAAGGGCTCTGTGTCACTGAACAAGGAAAAACCCTTCCCAAAAACCCACGGAAGGAACCTCCTCCTTATGCAACCCGTGCCCTGAGCACCAAGCGTGAGGAAAAGCTGTAACAGGAGGTAACCCGGGGCACGGCCTCGCTGAGCAGAGCCCTGATAACAAACGGAAGGCAAATCCAGCAGGAGCCGAGCGTTTATTTCCTCAGCGGGCAGGACGGTTCTCTCGGGCGCCAAAGGGAAACCGAAAGCACAGCGGGTTGTGCCGCTCCCGGGGAATGCTGAGGCACTGCCGGGAACCCCCCCCTGGCTGTGCCGGGCCCGGCGATGTCACCCCCACACTGTGGATCCCTCCTCGGGCCCGTCACCCCCCACCGCGGGGGCCCCGTGAGGGCCGGCCCGGCCCGGCCCGGCCGTGACCTTCCCTCGCCCCGCGGCCGCGCCCCCGGCCCGCACTCACCGTGGGCCCCGCGGGTCACTCGCGCTGCGGGACACGGGGCGGGCCCGGCGGAGGAGGAGGAGCAGGAGGAGGAGGAGGAGGAAAAGAAGGAGGAGGAAGAGAAAGAGAAGGAACAGAAGGAGCCTCCGGCGGCACCCAGGGCCCGGCAGCGGCCGCGGCGCGTCCCGCGCTTCCTCGGGCCGGCCGGCGCTCGCCGCCCCTACACGAACGTTCCGCCCGCCGCCGCCTGCGCGAACGTTCCGCCCCGCGGACAATCGGGAGCTCCGGCCTGGAAAGGGATCGGGATGGGACGGATCGGCCGGAACGAGCGTCAGCGGAAGGGAAGGATTCACCGCGCCTCACCGACACGCACCGCGGGCAGAGCGTTCCGATTTCAGCCGTAATGAGAGCAGGGACTTCAATCTCTCTGCTGATGTGTGAAACGCGTGTAAAATATAACGTATATATGACATAAAATACATATAACATATGCTCAACATAGATATATATGTGTATATATGCGTATATATTTAATATATCATATTTATTTTATATATACATATATACACATGTGTAAATAAATATCTTTTTATATATTCTATAGAAAGATACGTAGATATATTTTTATATATTATATAGAAAGTTATCTATTTTATATATATAACAAATCATAGATAAACAATTTGTATATATTACTGTATATTATATACTATCTATTATATATTACTGTATGTTATATATTATACATTATATATTAATATATATTACATACACATAAATACTATATATGGATATGTATAATATATAGAGATAACATGTTACACATGCATATAATATATATGATATATATATATATGACATATATATGAATAACTTTATATATACATAGTAACAGAAAAACATCCAGGAAAAGGTTAAAATAACAGGATCTCTGTAATTCCTGTCATTAACCCGAAGTTTTGGCAATTCCCCTTCAGCCCTTCTGCTCTTGTGTCCGTGTTTTGCAGGGAACAAGGGACAGGATGAGAGGAAACGGCCTCGAGCTGCGCCAGGGCAGGGTCAGGTTGGACAGCAGGAGGAATTTCTTCCTGGAAAGGCTGCTCAGGCATTGGAAAGGGCCTTCAAGCCCATCCCATTCCACCTTCCACTATCCCAGGTCGCTCCAACCTGTCCTGGAACACTTCCAGGGATTGGGGCAGCCACAATTTGATCGATTTTGGGTTTGGAGCCGTTGGGTTTTCCGATGAAACGTGTGGCTGAGTCGGTTGGACTCCACAAGACTGGAGCAGGAAAACTCCTGGGAGGAGGTAAGCTGGAGGCCCTGGGATGCAGCCACTGGGAAGGGGAAGCCTGGAATTCGAGGGGATCTGGGCAGAGCTGAGCACGGCCAATGGGATATTCGTGCCTGTGGGAGCGCAGAGTGCCCCAGAGCAGGAGCTGTTTCAGGCCAGTGCTGGCACAAGAATCAATGGGCACTGACCGGTCCCAAATATATTTAGCCTGGAAACCAGCAGAAGGTTCTGGGAACAGCTTCCCGGTGGGAATAATGGTGGCAGAAGATCTTAAGATGCAGCTTGATACGTTTATGAAAGGAATTATATAATACGGCGTTTGCAAAGGCTGGAGGCTGCAGCAGCCCAGGAAATCCCTCCACCTTATGTTCCAGTTTATTTTCAGCCCTTAAAGGCAAAGCT